TTTTATTAGTCTTTAAGATTGTGGATGTTAAGATCAAAATAGTCTACTACTAATTGGTTTTTATTGGTTTTAGCAAGTTTTAGACAGTTGTGGTAGATGTTGCTGTTTTTAATAAGGTTCTTATTGTTGGAAAATGGAAAAATTGCTTTTTACTGCAAACAACAGATTTGCCAATCTATATGCTTTACCCAAATTTCAGAAATTTCTGTCAAATTTAGATTTATTACAAATAATACTAGAAATTTAAGAAGAATTTTGATAATATTTTCACAAATGAGCTTAAATCTGTATGTAATTTAGTCTTTGATAGAGTTAAAGCTGATAAAAACTACTGTTGGATTATTAACAACTTGATTCTTCAAAAATCTAAAAGTTTACAGTGTTAACTGCTATATGGCTTCAAAAATATTTGCCTGTGACTTCGAAAATCTCTGATCTCTGCCCACTCAAAGAAATATGTGAAAATCATCTGGAGCTACCACATTTCTTTTTCCCCTGAAACGTTTACTATTCTGGATTTGCAAAGATAGAGAGATTTTCTCTATTTCTCGCTTTTTAGTAACTACATGAAACATTCAAAATTTCATTATCTGCAAGCAAATGAAATTCCAATGGGAAGTTGTAATTCAACTCAGTAATAGACTATCTTGATCTTAGCATTCATAATCTTAAAGAAATAAGACTTTTTGATAAAAGAAGAGAATTTGGATTTTACTGCAGTAAAGCTTATAAATTGGTACTCCAATCCAACATCTCTAAAAATAGTTACATGAAACTAACAGAATGAAAAAAGTTTGCACTGAAATAGAACAAGAAGAAGAAACTGTAATTCTCGCAAAAATTTTAAAAGAAAATGAAATTCCAATTAACTTCATTAACAGTATTTTAAAATAAGCTAAAGTAGTCTACACCCTGTAAAATGTTTTAAAAGTATGGATTTTTTACCTGAAAGCTCTAATACAAAAAGATAAAGAAGGATGTTTTAGAAGGTTTTTATAGATTCACTTTTTATCTATTCTTTTCTATTTATGTACATTTTTCTCAACTTTGCTGTTATTAACAGGAGGCCTACTATATTCCAGTCATCATGATAAGCCACTGATGTGAAGACTTTTTACTTTTCTAAACTTTGTTTCTTTTCTTCCTTTCCTTTACACATTCCTTTTATAAAAAAATTAAAAATTTCTAACAGGCATTTAATTCACCTATTGGGAGATTTCTAAACTCACCTTCACCAATTTGTTTTGCTAGTAAAGCCAAAAGCATCAGTTTTGAATCAATCATTTCTGATCTTCGTTTCGAAATTTGTAATTTGATTACAGTGTTCTCATTTAATTTATAAGAAATTTTGCATTTCTATATTTTAGTTTCAATTTTTTTCACTTTTAATCTTACATTATAGTAAAAAATATCCTGAGTTATTTATTTTATTCAAATAAGGAATTTTTTCAATTGGATATGTTTAATATTTTTCACTACCAGATTGCTTCTTTGTCCTCTGGGTAAGTTTTAAATTTATGTCCTCTTTTTTTTATATTTTTATTTTGAATTTTTGTATTTCTGCTTTATTTCAATTTTAAATTTAGTAAAAAATGTCTGATTAAATTCTTTTGCTGATTTGACTTTGGAATTTTTACCCTGCATTGGGAAGGACTTCAAAATTTTCAGACGAACCGTAATAATTAAATACAGTGCAAAGTCTGTAATCCGGACTCGTCGAGATTCCAGATTAGGGTTTTTTCTGGATTATAGATCATCAATTTAAATCTGGTAAGATGGCATGCAGAAATTATACAATTAAAAATATGAAACCGTAATTTATGAAATAAAGATCAATTATTATCTAAAGGGTATCAAAATGTACGTTAAAAAAAAAAAAAAAAAGAACTTAATATTTATTTTTTTACTTTATTAAATATTTTTTTCAATGTAAGTTGTTCAAGTTGCTTCATTTTTTGTGCTAATACTTTGTCTTTAATTCTATAAACAGACATGGTTTCTTGTTCAGTTACAAAGTTCCACTGTTCAATGTTCAAGTTCTGTAATTGCTGTGTCGAGAATACCGACTAACTTGTCAATCGAAATTTTTTCATTTTCAATAACCTCTCTGTCACTTTCTTCACTATCGGAAGTGGTATTTTCTGGATCTAGAACCATACTACATATTTCGCCGTCCATTAACTGATTGATGATTGGTTGTCACAATGATTAATTGATCGTCGCAATGAAAAACTTCTGTTATATCATTTTCATTTATTACCGCTTCTCCACATTTCTTTATAAAATCCAATAACTGTAAAATTTCACCTTTAGTTTGCGACGTCCAAAAAAATTCAAATTCGCGGCTATCATCTTCATTAACATTGACTGAAATGCATTAGAATCAGTAAAGATAATTTTAGCCTAGCTTATACCGTCCGGTATACATTAAACGTGCATGCATAAAGCATACAGAAAAAAAGTTTGTGGCATTGAGGTCCAGATTATAGATCATTCTGGATAATGGACATACAGATTACGGACTTTGTACTGTATTTTAAATACTTCATCAGCTAATTTTGGATACAGAACAGAGTGATTTTGAAGTGGAAGGGGGAGTGTAATTGAGTCTGATGTATCCTCCTCATGATAATGTTATATCAGATTTAATTGAATTCCACTTCTTTTATATTTTATCTGTCTCCACCCCAGCTTTTTATAAATTTTTAGTTTCACATTTCTTTAAGTTTTGTTTTGCATATTTATATGATATTTTGAAGTTTATTGATATTGAATTTCACTTCTTTAGGGTCTTTGCATAAAAGTGTTTCTAAATTTCTTACTTTTTGTTTCTTTCTGTTTCTATGTATCTATATATACTCAAGAGCCAAAACATTATGATCAGCCCTACATTTTGCGATGAACGCGCCTGGATGACGTGGAAGGCACGTGATCAGGTGGAAGTGGTATTTAACTGCTGCTGGAGATTCTGAAGAATCATTCTTTCACTTACAGCTGTGTGTAATGGGAAAGGCTGCGGATCTAAGCGACTTTGATAGAGGGCAGATTGTAATGGCTCGAAGGCTCGGAACAAGTATTTCCAAAACTGCACGACTCGTGGGTTGTTCGCGATCTACAGTTGTTAGTACGTATGAAAAGTGGATGAATGATGGTGAAACCAGCAGTAGACGACGTGGTGTTGGACGTCCACACGCTATCAAAGAAAAAGGTCGTAGGAGACTGTCTCGCATGGTGAAGCAAAACCGGAGCCAGATAGTGGCTCAGCTGACAGCCGAATACAATGCAGGGCCAAGTAGAAAAGTATCGGAGCACACTGTTCAGCAGACACTGTTGGATATGAGGCTACGCAGCAAGCGTCCCACTCGTGTGCCTTTGCTGACCAAGCGTCATCGTCAACTGCGCCTGCGCTGGGCCGGGGAACATCGCGACTGGTCCATGGATCAGTAGGAGAGAGTTGCCTGGTCAGATGAATCACGGTTTGTCATTCATCACGCCGATTGCCGTGTCAGGATACGCTGTCTTCCAGGTGAACAGTTGCTCCTTCAATGCACAGTAGGTCATACACAGGCCGAAGGTGGCGGTATTATGCTCTGGAGGACGTTCTCTTGGGCATCTCTGGGACCCATGGTTGTGGTAGAGCAGATCATGAATACTACAGGGTATCTGAACATCATTGCGGATCAGTTGCACCCTTACATGGCCTCTGTTTTTCCAGCTGGAAATGGAATGTTCCAACAGGACAATGCCCCATGTAACAAGGCTACAATTGTGTTGGAGTGGTTCCAGGAACATGATGCTGATTTCCTGGCCGCCTAACTCATCGGATCTCAATCCAATAGAACACATTTGGAATGTCATGGGATGGCAGCTCAGAAGTCAAACACCACCAGTTCGCAATATCTCGGATTTGCGTGACCGTTGCTACAACATCTGGTACAATCGGTCTCCGGCCATCTATCAAGGACTTGTGCCATCCATGCCAAGGTGAATTGAAGTTGTGTTGCACACCAAAGGTGGCCCAACTCATTATTGACAGGTGGTCATAATGTTTTATTAAGCAATGGAATTATTAAGCAATATTAAGCAATGGAATTTGCAATTTAGGATTTGCCCTGAGATGAACAAACAGAATTTCATTTTTTTTTTTTTTTTTTTTTTTTTCCAAAAAAGAAAAAAGTATATCTTGCAAAAAATTATTTTCTAATAACCACCTCATGAAATTAAAATGTGGCTCGAAGTTAAAATAGCTGTGCAGCCATTGTTTGCACCCAGAAGAAAAAGTTGTAAAATGTGCTTTGCTAGATCAAGCATTTCTTTTGTTACTTATTTTGGTGCAATGTTTGTGAATTGCTCTTGGCACTCATTTGAAATGACATATTTTATTTATTCATTTAAGGTGCGTAAATTAAATCCTTTTTTCTTGTTTCAGGAGGAGGTTTTAGATATGTAGGAAATGTAGGGAAATAATTTTTCAACAGAGACTGAGTGAAAAGGGTAAAAGCTTGAAAAATTTAACCAAAAAAGTTTAAGAAAGAAGCATCTAGTATTGTGCCGAAAGCTAAAATGTGCTAATATGGTGCTGAAAATGCATTTTATGATTTTAAAAGAAAAGTACTAAAAAGAATATTAATAAAATTTGACCGTGAATGGAATTAAGTTATTTATCTTCATTACTGATATATTAACAGAGGCTGAAAATTTATAAATGGAGTAGTCTTGGATTTCTTGATGAATTAACCAGCATACATATGATGAGTATGGTTTGAATAGGGCATTTCAAGGGAATTTTAAAAATTTTTGTTTACATGTATAAGACGAGAATGGTGGGCATATTGAAGAAAAATATTGTTTTTTCCTCTGTACCAATATATTTCTTTCATCATTTTAACTGCCATAGATATGATCATTTCTTCAGTAATGTTATGACAAAGAAGTTTCTAAAACTGAATGTTTTATGCACGTTGTTGCAGTGTTCTGATAATTTTTTTTTCCCTTTTTAGATCTGAATTAAATACAAATGTTGTTCAAGATGTAACAAGTCTGTTTTGTGGAGCACACAATTTTACTACATTTACTAAACGCACCAAGCAAGAGCCTTGGAGAGATACTAACAGAGTAATTGATGAATGTAAATTTTATGAGTCATCAAATCACAGATTATTAGATGATGTTCGGTATTCTAATATTCATATGTGGGAATTTTACATAAAATCAAGAGCTTTTTTATATCATCAGGTAAGTATTTTGCTATTTTATATTAATCCTCTGAGCGGCATGTGTTTCGAGATCTCCTCATGAAGACATACTGAGCTGCATTTAATAGCTATATTTGTATAATTCTTATTTTAGTCTCTGTTTTCATAAACTTCCATTCATTAAGTTGATATTTACATCATTAAAGAAAATAAAAAAGCAAAATATTTTAAATAATAAACTAATATATACCAAGAGATAAAAAATCTCATGACTATATAAAGGCAGTCTTGCCATACAGGGAGTTAACAAAATTTCCCTTATGATGTGTAATTAAAATTTGTAGCGATAGAACACTTTTTGAGTTACATGTTTTGTATAGTTATTCAGTTGCTCATCACTTTTGCTTTCAGAGGATGGTAAAAACAAGCATGCCTTGAAATATTGCAGGTTCATTTCCATTTCACTACAATAAAGTAAATCTAACAAAAAGCTTCATTTCACCAACTGATAGCACATATTGCTGTACTAGTTCTTTTCAAGGATAAAAACCATAAACACAAAATTAAGGCCCAATATGTAGCTGTATGTGTGTGGACAGATTGTGTTAAAAAAAGAGAGAATATCACATGTCATATTGATTCAGATTTTTTCCCAATGTTAAAATATTAATTATTGTGAAAAATAATTTTATGTTCCTTTATTACTATTGCATAAGTTTGTGTGTCATTTTAAAGTTTATTTTTAATGTTTTTGCTTTTATTATATTTGGTAAGAAAAATTATTCATATATGTCTGATTCTGTAGTTCATTTCTAGTGTTTTTTTATTATATATTTATTGAAAACTCAATAAGTTTGGCATCAATTACATACATAATTTTTATATAGCCGTTCACATGAAAAGACTGGGTAAGTTATTAGTATGTTTAGAAATTCAAGGATTGTAGCATGCTGTTGAGTGTATTTTGAGGCTGTGTTGCATATACCAGTTTTTCCCTTTCATTCAGTAGTTTAAGATACATGCCATCTTCAACCGTTAAGTATGATTTCATCTGATAGAGTAGTTATATGCATGTGTAAACTTTATGTCCAAAAATGATTACATTTTCTCAATTTCTTTTCTTTTGATTTGTGTATTTATTTTCTTGTTTGAGATGTGGTAAGGTATAAGTCTATTAAGCTGTTTAATAGAGTAGAAGATGGTTGAAGTGACTTTTTTATGGTATGCTAGATTGGTGTTTGAGGTCAGTTTTATTTTTTGAAAATAGGATCTTTTAAAACTAAATTTCTGTTTATTTATTTATTTATTTTTCGTAGAAACTAAAATGTTAACAAAGTTAACAAAGATTTGATTAAAAAGAAAAGTTACCTTTGGATGGATATTTTTGCTTTGTCTTTGCTTTTGTTCTGTTATGTGTGGTGTAAATTTTTATTTAATTAGTTTTGTATGATTTTAGTTTTTTTTTTTTTTTTTTTGTTATTCTCTTGAAAGATTTAATAATATATGGTACGACAACCTAAAACATTTCATATCCCATTCATTATTATTTAGCTTTTCTTTTTATAATTCAAAATAAAATGCAAAATGCTGTGACAGTTTTTTAATTGGGGATAGAACTCTAGTTGTATAATAAGGTTCGTACAGTCCTTAAGAGTCCTTAAGTTTTTTGGAATCTATTTTTGGTCCTTAAATTTTAAGCATCTGAAATTTCTGTCTTGTTTTGACAACTGCTATTTTGGGTGGGAATTATCATTTTGGAGGGATATTTTTGACAATTTACTAACAAATATGATTATTTTTTGAAGGGGTCATAATTTGTTCCCTTTGCTAATATAAGGGCTGGGTTACTGGAGTTCCTGAGCAAGGATTCAAACATAAGCATTTCAAAATTATTTCATTTTTTCCATTGAAGAGTTCTTAAACAACATTCTTTTTTTGGGGATGTGAATTCTTTTATTAAATGACTCTAAATTTGGCGACTTAACATTTTCGCGATTTTAAGATCAGTTTCTGTGGAAAATTTTTAATTCGGAGATCTAAGATTTTTCTAAGATTTTTTTTCTAACATTGTAAAATTTAACTAAAATAATAATAATATGTTGAAATTATATTTATGGAATAACATTAAAATAAAACATTTTTATTTTTTGCTATCATATTATAAAAAGACATTACTTTCTATTTTGGTGACTTATTATACAGTATTTTGAATCTGAAAAATAAACAAGGTAATAAATGCTATAAAGCATAGTTTACAAAACAATTCATAGCAAAAGCAAAATAGCTAATTAAAAAAGTAATTAATTAATTAAAAATTTCTTCCTTTTAATATTTTCATGGTAAGAATTTTTTCTATGTGCATTCTCAGAATATTCAGAATTGTCAGGATATGCATCAATTTTCTCTGTAAAATTAATTTTCCACTGATTTGTTTTTTCAAAATATTTCTGGCCTTTTTTCTGGTCCAGAATTGGTATGGCTAATATTTCTTTAGGATTTTAAATATTTCAACTTGGGAAGTTTAGAAGAATTTGAGGGCAAGATTTATAGATGACCCACAATTCTAGAAAGCTCCAGAAAAATGTGACAAAATTAAAAATTAACACATAACGGATGTATTTTGCAGAAAGTTTGTGATGAATTTCTTAGATTTTGGAGAATTTTTGGAAGGACATAATGTTTGAATGTTGTACTTCTGATACCAGAAGTCTTTTTCTTAACATGTTTATGGTCCCTTTATTTTCAACTTTTCACTAGACACAAGTATGGAAAATATAAAAAATATTTCTAATTATTTTGCTTGGGCAGGCATTAATAAAAAAATTGAAAACTGACAATGTAAAAGACTCACTTTATATGTCTCAATGAATCATACACAGGGCTGCTGCTAGGCATTTCCCACGAATGCCTTCCTGAATTATGCTGTTTAGGGCTCTCCTTAATTATGCTCCCAGTGCCTGTCCTAAATTCTAAATGTTTTCCCATTTCTAGATTTTCTTGCTCAGTGTGTCACTGAATTTAAAAAATTCTGCCTCATTAGCTTTGAAAACAGCCCTTATTATGTATCATTTCATATTTGTTCTGAATGTTCAGCTTTTCCTGTACATTCTAAATTCATTTGGTTTTTTAGAAACATAAAAATCTGTAATTAATTCCAAAGTGAAGAGGAAACGTATTGAAGAAAGAAACTGAATACATAAAGAGGAAACAAATTATTCTTCAAAAATATGTAAAGTTATTATTATGCAAATTAACTAGTTGTTTATAATTTTAGCCTATACTAAAATTTCCCTTTTCCATTTCCCCACCATAACGCAAATCAGATAATTTTTAAATTGAGGTTTTTGAATTGTCAGACAGAGTGTTTTTGCCTTTCACTTGGATGCTGCCTTAGTTCCTGCCAGCTCTGATAGCTTTTAATTATTCATCTTTGCGTTATTGCTGCTAACATTTGAATTTGTTATGACGGTAGAGTTACTGAGACAGCTTAGATTAAAATTAAATTCTGTAGTCGTTGACTACTAATCCATATTTTTAGTTTGAATTTGACCATTCCTGTTTGATTGCATCACCACAAGCTGTAGCTGATTTTTGTGAGCATAGGAATCTCCCTGTATGTTCCAAGTTCTTTTTAAACAAGAGGTTTATTTAAACCTTTATGTGACTTTATACTTACTTTTAGACATAGCGATAATTTGCTTCATGTCTATCAGTGGTTTCGGACTATTTAACTTTTACCAGATCAAGTAAAACCTCGTTAGGTACACTGTTAAGAGAGTGGCAAGTTAGGAGATAAAGCACGCAGATGTAGTTGGAACATTGGTTTGTGTATTGATACAGATTTCTAATTATTAGAAAAGATGTTTAAAGAGAAGAAAACTGATATAAATTAAGCCAAAATGTCTGGGAAGTCTTCAAATTAAAATAATTTGTTGTGTGTTGTTGCTACAAAATATTTTGTTGTGTCCACAACAAATGTTAAGTATCTTTTAATGGGCAATTATCCTAATACTGTTTAAGAATCAATGTTATAAATTGTGTGCATTTTAAACTGTGAAATATTATTAGATTTTGATTTTAATAATGCTTTTTTAACAAATGTTTTAAAAAATAAATAAAATTTAATAGTGGTCATGTAAATCTGTAACGACTAAGGGTATTTAACTACCTAATTTAATTATTTGTAACTGACTGTTCACCTTTAAAAGTTATCTCTGCATATTAAAGCAAGTTATTGCCTTTCATTAATATTCTTACTATGGTCACAAGATACAGCACCGAAATGTAAAAATTAATGTAAAACTTATTCTTTGCACCTAGTGAGACTTAAAATAATACAAAACAACTCATCACCTCTGGTGCATTAGTGGTTTATTGTAACCTTAAAATATATTAACTGGGTTACAATCCCAGGAAGTCTACATGAAGTTATGACACTAATTGCATCAGACAGATGGAGCACAACTAACTTTCAAAACTTGCCAATCCTGTCTGCATCAGGCTTTCAGGTTTGTTCTTATCAACAGGAATTTCTCTAGGCAAGCAGCAGCCAGTCTTCTGTTACGAATCATGCTGATTATGATTTTAATTCTCATTTTAAACTGTGCCGTTTGACATAAAATTTACCTGCTATTTACTAAACCTGTAGGCTAAGTACATGGCAAAATGAGACAGTTAACTGTTAGTAAAACATATGCAAAATGTCCCTAATCTTCTTTTAAATATGTCCAACTATTATACATGTAAAAATATTTAATGCTACTTGATAAGTTTTATAAAATGGATTTTATTCTCAAATTTGTTTTATACTTATGTTTATTAAATTATGGTTAATAAGAATGCATCCTACTTACAGATCTATTTTATTCTTAGATTGTTATTAGAAAGGTGAAGTTCAGTCATAAGTTGATTGAATTTAATTGAATTAATTCAGCTCCCATTTGCTGATAGGTCCTTAATTTTTTTCATTAATGGTCTTTAAAAGTCCTTAGTACATTAATGGTCCTTAAAAGTACTTAATTTTTATGTGCAGAAATGGGGACGAACCCTGTATAAGTATCGTACATTTTCATCCCGTTATTATAGTAATATAAAGGTTATTATATTACTTTTAATTATCTCAACTTTAAAATAATTATCAAACATTTTAAAAAGTTTCTAAAGCCAGTGGTAAAAATTTATGTATATGTATGTGAAGTATTTGTTAGGAAAGAAAAATTCCTAAGATTAAAATTTATTTTTCTCTAAGTAGGATGATATGTCAATTAAATTATTATTGTTAAAATTATGTGATTATTTTTAAATAACAAGTTTTATATAATTAATATTTTTAAACAGATTAGGAAGTTAGTTGGTACGGCCTTATCAGCTGGTTTTGGATTACTGTCCGTATCTGATGTTGAATTCATGTTAAAAAAACCTAATCCCAATGGATGGAGAAAAAGTAAATTGGTTCCTTCCTGTGGTTTGTACCTCTCAAATGTGGCATACAACAGAGAAGGTGAGATTAAGTATCTTAGAAATGAATTCTTGTAATAAATGATGGATACTCCTCCAGAGTATGTTTTCATACATTTGCAAATAATATTATTTTATATTTTGTATTATGCGATATCGTAATTTTACATTTCTTGCTATGTGATATAATTTTAATTTCTGTTTTTGAGGTATAAAGTAACAGAAGGTAATATGATGCGAGTTATAATAATCTCTGATGTTGCAACATGGAAAAAAGCTTTGTAAATTCTTGATGTGTCCACCCTTCTTGATGTGGCAAATATTTATCTTGTGATTAAGTTGGGCTAATGCTAATTTTATTTGTGTTTGGTTCGCTTAGCTGATAGTTGTGGTAATTCCATTAATATTTGTGGTAGTTAGACAGCTCCATCTCATATTCCATCCTTGGTAATGTATTATTTAAATTCTGTTAAATTTTGAGACAGTTAGCATCATCTTGTATTTTCAGTCTTCCATTGAGATAGGCTGAATTAGAGCCCTAGTTAATACCTGTCTTAATGAAAAGACATTCAGTGTGCAAAACCATTGCAGATGTGATGTGTAGCTGAGGCTACCTGTGCGCATTGTTAAACTTAAGTACAGATCTTGTAGAAAGCATGGCTATTTGTGATTATTGCTTGTTTGTGGAATCAGAGGTATGGGATGGTGTATGAAAAACCATGCTCTCTTTCTGCTATGAGCCTTCACCAAAGTTCTTGCATAGACTGCTTGATATTTTCTTTAAGATATTACTTATCTCAATGAGTGCTTCAATTGGTTTGCGTCTTACGACTTTTCTACTGGCAATGGGATAATCTAAGTCATTGCAACAATGAAGCAATGGAGGTATGTTGATATCTGTTCATAATCATGTTTTTTTTTTTTTTTTTTTTTTTTTTTTTTTTTTTTTTTTTAGTGCCACCTTGTACTTATACTCTTTTGAGCTTTAAGTCGTCTTGACAGGTTGGGAGGAAAAGGGAGGTGAAAATTGAGATGTAGTTCAAGCTAGTCTTGCATGCATTGTCTAAAACAAATACAGTCAAAACTCGTTAATTCGGACACCCATAATCCTGAATGATGTATAATCCAGACCACAAAGCTAAAAACTTTCTGCACATGCGCCGCGTTGATACATGCGCATAGGCGTTTATGCGTGCGTGTAAGACCTTTACGACTGCGCATATGCGTGTGCGCAAGCGCAGAATACGTTTTCGCTTGCGCGTTTTATGTATAGCGGATGGTATAAGCTAAAATTATCTAATTATCTATTTCAGTTAATGTTGATGATTGCGTTGTTCCTTAATCTTCGAATTGGATCAGGCTTATTATTTTTTGCAGACTGTAAGAGCAATTTTATAAAAGTAAACTTGAACTTTTGATTGTGTCAAATAGAATTTTCGATGCTGGAGCTCCCAAAGGATCTACAAAACGAAAGTATGTTTCGATGTCCATCAAACAAAAAGGTGGAATTGCTGCAAAAAATGGATAAAGACATGAAGAAGGTGACAGAGAGGTTAGTGAAAACGAAAAAATTTCGATTGACAAGTTAGTCGGTATTCTCGGCACAGCAATTACGGGACTTGAACAGCGGAACTTTGTAACTGAACAAGAAATTATGTCTGTTTATAGAATTAAGAGAAAGTATTATCACATAAAACGAAGCAACTTAAACAACTTACATTGAAAGAAATGTTTAATAAAGTAAACAAATAAATATTAACTTTTTTTTGTGTGAATTTTGATACCCTTTAGATCATAATTGTTCTTTATTTCATAAATTACGGTTTCATATTTTTAATTTTAGAATTTCTGCATGCCATCTTACCAGATTTAAACTGATGATCTATAATCCGGAATCACCGAAGTCCCGACGAGTCCGGATTAACGACTTTTGACTGTATTACTAGCTGTTGTATAATATGTTATGTAAATTAATTTATGTATTGAGAGAATGATTTTCTTGTAAAGACTAATTATTTAGATAAAGTGTGATATGAATCAAATTAATTTATCTAAACAATTGTTTTTTGCCATTATTTAAAAGAAACTGTTGGTTAGAATAAGAAACTTTATATGTTGAATTTCGCAAAGAAGGAAAACTATCATATTGACTAGAATATAAGATGGCCTTATATTTTAAGATAATCTTGCATTTCTGAAGGTTTATTTTTTGAGGAAAGAAAACTTTCTTATAAGATGATGTCACATGATGTAGTAACATATGAAGAAATTTTACAAGGATCGGACAGTTAGAGACAGATATCTTAAACAAGAAAATTTATTAAGAGGGGAAACTAGTTAAAGGCAATAGGATAATTAGTGAACATCTTTTAAACTGCCAAAATTATCAAAATATAATTTACAGATATCTGCAGTCGTATAAATTTATTATTTTAGTATAAACATTCAATTTTGGTAAATTGATTGATTGATTGATTGATTAAGGTAGAGCTCGTGGAGAGTATCTGTTTGATTTTGCTAAAAGTAACTCATTACAGAATGTGCCTTCTTAGCACAATGCATATAATGAATCATAATTCCATCAATTTTCTGAGATGTAAGGCTACATTTTCAGTAGAAGTCTGCATGTTATAAAACATATTAACTCAGATATATTTATTACAGTCAAAAGTCGTTAATTCGCACACCCATAATCTGGAATGATCTATAATTCGGACCTCAAAGCTAAAAACTTTCTGTGCATGCACTGCGTTGACACATGCGCATAGGCATTTACGCGTGCGCGTAAGACCTTCACAACTGTGCATATGCGTGTGCGCAAGTGCAGAATACGTTTTCGCTTGGGCGTTTTATGTATAACGGACGGTATAAGCTAAAATTATCTAATTATCTATTTCAGTTAATGTTGATGATTGCGTTGTTCCTTAATCTTCGAATTGGATCAGGCTTATTATTTTTTGCAGACTGTAAGAGCAATTTTATAAAAGTAAACTTGAACTTTTGATTATGTCAAATAGAATTTTCGATGCTGGAGCTCCCAAAGGATCTACAAAACGAAAGTATGTTTCGATGTCCATCAAACAAAAGGTGGAATTGCTGCAAAAAATGGATAAAGACATGAAGAAGGTGACAGAGAGGTTAGTGAAAACGAAAAAATTTCGATTGACAAGTTAGTCGGTATTCTCGGCACAGCAATTACGGGACTTGAACAGCGGAACTTTGTAACTGAACAAGAAATTATGTCTGTTTATAGAATTAAAGAGAAAGTATTATCACATAAAACGAAGCAACTTAAACAACTTACATTGAAAGAAATGTTTAATAAAGTAAACAAATAAATATTAACTTTTTTTGTGTGAATTTTGATACCCTTTAGATCATAATTGTTCTTTATTTCATAAATTACGGTTTAATATTTTTAATTTTAGAATTTCTGCATACCATCTTACGAGATTTAAACTGATGATAATATCTATAATCCGAAAAAATCGATAATCCGGAATCGCCGAAGTCCCGACGAGTCCGGATTAACGACTTTTGACTGTAGTGTAGTGTAATCCAGTGGGTGAATTGGTCCTGCTGTGACAGTGAGCAACTACATACTTCTTGGTCCACTCAGTCACTAGAAATAGAGCTATATGACTTGTTCCTGCAAGATGTGTTAACCCTTTAACTGTCAAGTTATTTTGATGATTTGGGTACACAAGTTGTCAAATTTTTTTATTGGAAAAACCAAATGTAGCCGAAATAAACATCTCCCGATATATATTCGGGTATGACAATACGATGCACTCAAAAAAAAAAAATTGCCCCGAGAAATACTCGGGCGTGACATTTTCGAACACCAGTGCTGTGCCCGAGATAATCTCGGGCATGACAGTTAAAAGGTTAAAAGATAGATGTTTATGTAATAGATTGTTGTAGGAAAAAAAAATGAAGCAGTAGATCACAAATGTTATAATTCAGATGTGTTATATAACAGTAAAATGAAAGGGAGCCAGATGGAATCATGAAGCTGCAAAAAACTCTTTCTTCTTTACATCAACTTTAGAATAAGGCATTACTTATGAAAACATTATAGCCATTTATGATTTCGGTATTTCACTAGTTTATGTTATAATTTTTTTTCATCTGAACTACATAGTTTGTATTAAATTATTTATTAAACTTCAAAAAATTCAAAGGCTGGTGATAATTTTTCCTTATTTACGGCAAGTAAACTGCATTCGTACCACTATACACATGTTTAATTTGCAGTAAGTTGGGAAAGCATGCTATTTTCATATATCTGATGCCATTATAATAAAGTAATCGTAAATCTGCTTTATAATGCAGACTTATAACTTGGATTTTATTTTTCTTTGCAATAAATCAGGAGTTTGCTTGCATAGAATTGGACTCAACTTGATTCCTATCTAGGCTTTTAAGATTAGACATTAGAATAAGGTATTCTCAAATTGTCATATGATTTTTCCCAATCTTGTTTTTCTCACATGAAAGCAAGGAAAAGAGAATGTTTGGGGCCTATATGCAATATCTGGGAAATGTAATATATGAGCTTTCACTCTGTCTTGATCAAACCTTTCTCAGACTAATGCTGGTTGGTTCATGTGATTGTTTTAAACATATCTGTAATGTTTATATAGTCAAATAAATGTTTAAGTATTTGCTTTAAAGGTATTTAGGCAATCAAAATTTCCCTTGTGCAATTATATTGCATATTGGCTCTCCATATGCCCCTAGGACCAGTGCTTCGAGATATATGTCGGTATTTATCATCAGTAATTTGAAGTTATTGAGCATCTCTCGTAACTTCTATATGCATGTTTAACTGTGAACATCCAGTGTTTTTGTAGATAAAAATTTAGTTTCAGATCATATTAGATGAATATGTTGACTTCCATCAAAATTAATATAGTATCAGAGGGAATTCTGAATAATACAACCATATACTTAAAACCTGATTATATCCTTCCCTCTAGTTTATCTGAATTTTTGTTCACAGGCTGCCTTCTTAATCAGTTGGAACTTTAGTTATGCATTTTTCCCTCCTTTCATTCTCTGGCTTCATTTTCTGTTTTTGTTGCTGTTCATTTGGTCTGTTGTTGTTTTGGTTAGTTTCATCTACGGTTACAGTATGACATTAATTGTTGCCTGTAGTTGAATTATCTCCTTGCTTACATATTAATGTAATCACTTTGATGAAGTCTGCTGATTTTTTACAAAGAAAGGGAATGATGATTTATAATTACAAATAATTATTATTGCATTCATATTTAACATTTTAATTAAGCATTTATCTAAAAAATTAATCAATAAACCTACTTAAATGGATTTTTGTTTCTTCTGATTTCATAAAAAAAGAATACATTCAAAGCAAGAGCTCTGTCTAGTGATTTTGAAGCAAACTGCTGTATTCCTGCAAAAATATTACTGATGTTTCTTTCATTGCAGAGAAATCATATAAACACATATCGTAATTGAGTTTAAGACAAAATCTGTTATGATTTGAACATGAAAATCATTAGAATTCGAAATACAACAATATGAACACATGAAAATAAATGGTGGCTTTGTTTGTTAAAACAGAAGAGTTGTTATGTTGTTACGTGCCAGCCTGAAAACTTGGTGACTGCTACTAAAGTGGTTGCACTAATATAATACTGTAAATATTGTTATTTTGTTTACATAACGAAACATTATACAAATTAGTATACTTAAGTAATGCTTAGTTTTGTAAGTATATCTAAACTAATTTTGTACATTTAAATTACTTTTTATTGTACTTAAATTACTATTTTAAAATAATTTTGTAATCAGCTCAGTATTTAAGAAATATGAACTGTGGTAAACAACTGAAAAGTTTCAACATGAAAATTAACTTAGAAAAGTAAAAGGTTCTAAAAAAATTATCAGTAACTGCTATTTCTTTGTAGTTCATTGCAACTTATCAGTGAGTTGAAGATTATACTCAACGATATTTTTTTGCTGGATTTGTACTAATTTTTATTTTGATTATGTTTTTCTGTATTATTAGATAGCATAAAGTTATTTTCCTTAAATATAAACTTAGTAACATAAATTCTCTCCTTAAAGGTGTTAGGACAGAAATAGATAACTAGTTATATATAGCATCTTCATTCATTCCAGTAAGCTAAACTAGTATGCAGTTCAAGATCATAGGGATTTAAAGCCAGGACTATGGAATACAAGAATGACATAATATGATTAAAAAAAGAGAGAGGAGAAGGAGCAATAAAAACAATATATTTTTTATTTTATATGTAAAATATCACTCACAGGCAAAAATAGACTGGAATGGACCCATAAAAAAAGCTTAAGATCACAAAAGTATTAAAATTTGTAATGAGGCAAATTGTAGTAAAGAACATAGCCATTCTCAAAAATGAAATAACTGAGCTACGGCAGACAGTTATTGTTGTGTTTTAAATGCAGACAAGATCAAAAGCAAAATGAGGAGAGCAGGAATAAATGAAGAGAAAGGCAGATAAAGTGGGATAGTGAGATGCTCCTTATAAATTCCAGTTGACAAAATAAGCAGCCATTCCCAAAATTCTGATAGAATTAAAAAACATAATTTAGCTGTTAGCTGTCCCAGCTCTAAATTCCACATACACCGTAAATTTTACATCAAAAGATTTGGCCACCATTTGATATGAACACAAATATACAATTTCACAATTCTTTATAGTCTGTCATAGCAGCCAGCTACAGGTACAGGTTGAGCATGGCTGTTTGTTCATTCCTGTAACTACATATCACATATTACTAGGCCTTAATTTTGAAAGAGAACATCCCAAGAGGTAGTTAAAAGGCCTCTCATCCCTCTTTCCCCACTACCTGTCTTTTGAGAGGACTTTCAGCTTGCTGTGTATTTTGAGTGTCTCCTTGACACAGACACTATATACTTACAAGCATCCATGCCTTCTCCAGGATTCGAAGTCAGGTCCATCAGCACAACAGTCAACACCTATAACTATTGAATCAGCTGGTATAATCAACTGAATAGTTGAATATACCAGCTGGGCAATAGCAGACTATAGCATAGATATGTCTACCACATCACTATCATTCCGAACAATGAACAGTTTTTGCCATTTTATTCTACATAATAGCATGTCTAATATAACTTACAGCAGCTCAAGATTGGCTTGTGGGGATGCCATAAATAGTTTTCTAAATATTGGTAAATTAATACAAAACAGTAGTTTTAAAGTATGTGGCCTCACACTTCAGTATTTGATTTAACATTTACACTACATATGGCATTTAATATTATCAGAAGGTTAACATAACAAATGGGTTCTTTTTTATTCACAGTAAGATAATAAATACAGCTGTTCACTGAGTAGTTTTAAAGCATGTGGCTTCCCTCTCCAGTATTTGCTTTGACATTTTAAACTCTGTGTACCGTTTAATATTCTGAAGATGCTAATAAGTGGGTTTTTCTTTGTTTACAGTAAGTAAAAAAAAAAAAAAAAAAAAAATGCTACCTTTCACAAATGTCTTTAAAACAGACTTAACTCACTTAAGGTTCTGCCACATTTCCAAAATTGCACTCTTGAACTCTTGTGATATCTCGTACTTCGTATTACAGTCAAAAGTCGTTAATCCGGACTCGTCGGGACTTTGGCGATTCCGGATTATCGATTTTTCCGGATTATAGATCATCAGTTTAAAATCTGGTAAGATGGCATGCAGAAATTACAAAATTAAAAATATGAAACTGTAATTTATGAAATAAAGAACAATTATGATATAAAGGGTATCAAAATTTACAAAAAGAAAAAGCTTAATATTTATTTGTTTACTTTATTAAACATTTCTTTCAATGTAAGTTGTTTTAAGTTGCTTCGTTTCATGTGATAATACTTCTCTTTAATTCTATTAAACAGACATAATTTCTTGTTTAGTTACAAAGTTCCGCTGTTCAAGTCCTATAATTGCTGTGTCGAGAACACCGACTAATTTGTCAATCGAAATTTTTTCGTTTTCACTAAACTCTGTTACTTTCTTCACTATCGGAAGCGAATTATAATGACGAGGAACTTGTTTTAAATCACATCAAAGATGGAGCACATCGAGATGAAATACTAATTTGGTAAGGAATTAGAAGCCAAATAAAATAAAAACATCTGCCCTGAAGATAAGGATAGTGCTGACAGATCAACTTCCAATTCATTACGTGCCCGCTGCGGCGTTCCTACCGCCGAGCAGCGTGAAATTGATAAACAAATTTCGGATTTCAAAACATACTTTCGCTTTAGATCCTTTACATATTAACAAATATATATCGGAAATTCTATTTGATATAATCGAAAGTTTAAGCTTACTTTTATAAAATTGCTCTTACAGTCTGCAAAAAATAATAAGCCGGATCCAATTCAAAAATTAAGGAACAACGCAATCATCAACATTAACTGAAATAGATAATTAGATAATTTTAGCTTATACGTCCATTATACATAAAACGCGCACACGAAAACGTATTCTGCACTTGCGCACACTCATATGCGCAGTCGTAAAAGGTCTTACATGCACGCGTAAATGCCTATGCGCACGTGTCAACGCGGCGCATGCGCAGAAAGTTTTTAGTTTTGAGGTCCGGTTTATAGATCATTCCGAATTATGGGTGTCCGAATTAACGACTTTTGACTGTATTAGCATAAAACTGGCATATTAATGTTGGTTTGATAATTCCCACAAAATTGCTATCTGACTAGTGAATTTACCATTCTGATTGCTCAATTAGGCTTCTAAAGAACCATTGCTTTGTGGTGCTATTTCATTGTATCAGAGTTGCAGATAGGTGTGTGTCCCAACTCCCCCACTGGGCTGAATCTTATTTGCTTTAGCTGTTTTTCTTTTATATTTTTGTACAGTACTTTTTGAAAAATACTGTTCTAAATGCTTTCTTAAAAAAATTGTTTGTTAGATTTTCCAAAGAGGTTACCCATGAAATTAGACTAACAATTAATTAAAATGTTAGGTCCACACCAAAAGAACTCAGAACTAATAAAATTTGAAACTGATGTATTACTGAATAGTTGATCTTCAGATCCTGGTACCCCAGATAGAGCATGAGTTGCAATTATAATTAGGAAGGTTACTTCATAATTAAGTTTTTATGCTGTGCGGTAGTTGTTTGCGGTTAGGAAGTTATATTAACTGGAATATCAAGTATGGCTGAGAATTTTGCAAAATATATGGAAATCAGGGTCAGTGTTGCTATGCTGAAATTTAACTAGTAAGTTTTTTTTTTGGGGGGGAGGGGATTTATTTTCATGAATTTTAATATTTGAGTGATAACATTGCAAAGTAAAAGATTTGAGGTATTAGGATATTTTACGGCTTGATGAAACTTTTTTTATGTTTAAAAAAATATGTGTAGTTAGTAGTTATGCAGAAATGAAGAGATCAGAAGTTACTTTAGCTGACCCTACCTATTAATTTAATACAGCAACATTTTTAAATTATCCAAGTTCTAAATTTTAGAACTGTATCCTGTATGCTGTATAATCTGATTAAAGATTTGTACGTTTTAGGCTACCTTTCTAATCAGCATAGTGAATTGGCATTGCTGGCTGTTGTATTGTGGATCCAAGTTCATATCTCAGAGAAAGCTTGGATGTTTTTAAATGTACATTGTCTTTGCGGCATGGGGGCACTTAAAATACACAGCTAGCCAAAAGTTCTCTTGTATGGCTTTGTGGTAGAGAAAGAAGGGTAAAAAGTCTCGAACCCATCTCCTGGGGAAATTCTCTTTCGAAACTGGGCAAAATTATACCGTCATTTATAAGGTGTCCAGTGACAGATGTAATTCTGTGCTTCTTGCCATGATTAAAAGTTGTGGACTTGTTCTACTGTTACTGTCAGCCAAGTAAGTCATAACAGAATGTTTTGGGATATATATTGTCTTTAACTGCATTGATCATCAAAATTAAAGGATAATGACAGAAATAAAGCATAACTGATGAAAAATTATTAATAGAAATTTGTATGAAAGTATTAGTTGACATAAATTACACAATGTTTGCCAGTTGATTTCACAAAATATTGAAATCAAAACTAAATTTATGAAAATTGGAAAATGATGGAAAAATTAAGTCACCTCTTGTAGAAAATATTTTTGTTTAATATGGTATATGGTCATCTCAGACAGATATGCATACCTCACATCTAGATTTCAGATACTTTCATAGACCAAAGTGTTGATCAAGTCTCATGGAATTGCACGTCACTCTTCTAATAGTGCTCATTTCAGCTGCAAGATGGTCCATGGTGGAATTTGGAACCTTAAGGCATCCTACACATGCTCAGTCGGATGAGTAAGGTAGCCAGTCCATTCAAGTAATATCTTCTGTTTGCAGGTTTTCTGACACCACATATGGTCAATGAGGCCGAGCATTGTCATCCATTAGCAAAAACTCTAGGCCAGTAGCATCCCTAAGCAGTCTAACCTAAGGTTCGAATATCTCATCCACTTACCTACCAGCAGTTACAAAACATCCATGAAAGATATGCAGCTATTTGCCTTGATTCCTTTCCAAACCATTAAATTTCAGAAATGGGATATTTCACAGACAAGCGAAGGCATGTTGCATGTTCCTTTCTCTTTCCATATCAAAATATGTCTACAATCACTGCTCAGTTTATATCTGGACTTGTCAGTTAACAACACTTAGGTCCAATTATTTTGTCTTCATTAAACCTGATGATGGTACCAATTTAAACAGGACCCTCTGGAAGCTGGAGTGAGTGGGACACAAACCATTGGTTTTCCTGCATACAGTGCAACCACATTAAGCCTTTGTTAAGCAGTGAAATTGTTAATTTGACTTCTTGTGGCAACCTAAAACCAAGTCTCTTGTAGTTGCTTCATGGTTTCTTTAAGCTGATAACAACAGGAAACAGTCTTCTGATGCAGTTGTTGCTCTTGGTTGCCCTTGACCAGGCTGTTTATCAACTGATCTAGTGCTTAAAAAGCCACACCAAACTTCTGATATGACGCTTTGAGGGATATTCAAATCTTGGCCGACCTCCATTTGTGTTGGACCTCGATTCTACCAATTATTCACCACTTTTGACCTTCACTCAAGTGATCACTCTCAGAAACCACATTCAGTTGAAAAGAATTCCAATATGTGTCCATTGTGCACCACATTGTCAATCACTGAATTCGCATATGTCTGCCTGTAACATATTAGCAGAAGTGCAATTTCAGATTCAATTGTATTTAATTAACATAAATAATTACAGCATTGGATACTGGTTGGAACATTAACTTAGTGAGCATATTTTTTCTCATTATCCTTTAATTTTGATGACCAATGTATATTTTCCTTTTGATGACATTCATTTCATTTTCATGACATAAATGTACGGTTTTGACAGATTTTGCATGTCATTCTGCATTAGAAGAGAAAGAGGAAGAAACTTTTCTTTAATTGTAAGAATATGCATTTTTATTCATATTTTGTAGATGTAAATAAAATCTGTAATTATAAAGAAAGCACGTGTAACATATGTTTTTATTTATTTATTTAAAGCTGATAACATTGAGTTGTTTAATCATAACAGCAAGTAGATGAAAAAGTTTTTGCATAGTTGTGGGCATTCGGTCTTAATTGCATATTAAAACATTGCATGTGCATCTCTTGGCTCAGAGTGTTTGTAAAAAGAATGAGAGTTTGATGAATGCCAAGCAAGAGTGTGTACTAAATATAATCAAGGATCCTCGATCGTGATTCTTCATAGTTATAGATAAAATGTGGGCCAATTTGAAGAATTTAAATAAAAAGGATGTGTATTGCCCAGTTGAGCATTTATTAATGAACATTTATTATGTGTATGAACCAAGCTATCATCTTAACATCATTTGTCTGTCGAGCCAGAGGACTACGATATAATTTCTAAAGTAAGTGAAACTTTTGTGAATTCCAATTGCTTTATTTGAGTAAAATGTTAAAAAATTGTACAAAAGAAAACCTTAGGCTTATAGCTGCAGAGTTAGGAGAATTTGTATCTGAAAAAGCAACAGTTGTTGAATTAACTGAGTTGATCAAAAATAATAAATATTGTGAAACAGATATTGAACTTGTGAAAGAATTAATAAGACAACGATTGAAGATCATAAAAGTAAAGAGCGAAGTTTAAATTTAGAGTAGATTAAGTTAGAAAGGGTAAAGGGAAAATAGTACTTGCAAAATTATGGGCAGAAACGAAAGTAGAAAACAAAAATGAGAGTGATCTAGAAATTCGTAATTCTTTAGATTCCCGAGGGAAAAGTGTAAGAACTTTAACTATAAATGGGCCTACTAGGCCAGAAGGCTGAGCTTTTTCCTTTTCTTCATTAAGAAAGGCTTTTATCTCAAAAACTGCCCCTGATAAATATAGACCGGAGATTCTATTAAATTTATTACATAAAGGGTCTCTAATATGATTACTTATATTAAAGATGACAGGCTGAGTAGTTAGGAAAAAGTGACATCTATTATCTACCTGATTCTTGGCACTACATACATATATAACTTTTATCTTTATTGCTAACACATGGTTAAAACTCTCGTTTGAATTATAAATAAGAATCATTTAAGCCATAAATGACGATGTTTACATTATCTATCTTCAATTGGAATCTAGTCGCACATTCTTTGCTTATGAAAAAAAAAGTGCTCAGGAGATCCAACAATGTTTTAACTAGATGTAAACTTTCCCATACCATCATTAATGAAGCAGATCTTTCATCATTAATGAAGCTTGAGGGATGGGCTGAGAGAATTTCAGCCCATCCCTCAAGCATGCATAGAACAGTTTAAAAAGTCCGCATGCCAGCAAAACGAACTTATACGCAATTTGCTTCACGTTTAATCACGAATTGGAATTCTAAATCTAAGTGTTGGATTTTGAAACATTAAATGAACTTATTGTATAGTATTGGATAAAGTATTTTCTATTCTTGAAAAAGAAGTAGCATCACACATTAGTATTTGACAAACAGAGAATTTTTTTCCCCATCCGAGTTAACACAAGAAATAGATCTTTATTATTCTTTTTATGAAAGAGCTCTTAATTGTTTCAGTCTAAGTATCCAATATCGTAAAGGTTATCAAGAGAAAACAGTACCAGAAGTATTTTTAACTTATGTTAAATTTCAAAATGTAATCAAAATCATGCTTTGTATCAGTGCTTCAATTACAAGACGTTATCTGTAAATAATAGAGTAGGAATAGTTAAGAAACATAATTTGTGTTTTAACTGCTTAGCATGAAATCATCTGTTAAAAATTGCAAATAAAAAATTCCATATTCTGTTTGTGTGAAAAGGCATCACGTAATCCACCATTTTCCATTGGAAAATAAATCATCAAAAGAATATGAAAAAAATAAAAACGAAACAGCAGTGAGTGGTTCCAGTGTATTCTTGCCCTAGCGCTAGACTTTGTGTCTAACAGGGGGAACTGTCTGTTTGCAGCAACAAGTGTAAACAAATCAAGAATTGCTCATTTTTAAGTATTGTGATCTGCTTCATTAATGATGGTATGGGAAAGTTACATCTAGTTAAAACATTGTTGGATCTCCTGAGCACTTTTTTTTTCATAAGCAAAGAATGTGCGACTAGATTCCAATTGAAGATAGATAATGTAAACATCGTCATTTATGGCTTAAATGATTCTTATTTATAATTCAAACGAGAGTTTTAACCATGTGTTAGCAATAAAGATAAAAGTTATATATGTATGTAGTGCCAAGAATCAGGTAAGATTTGATTCAAGGAAATTTGATATTAAAGTGCATCATATTTGTAACAAAATTACCTGATAAGAATTTTAATGTACCAAAACGTATAGAGATGCTTTTAGGAGCTGAGGTATTTACAATATTAAAACCGGAACAGATTCGTTATGAAAACTTAAGTCTTATTTTGCAAAACAGCGTATTTGTGTTTATTGTATAAGGAAGTGTTACACCAGAAGAACAAAACTGTGTACATTATGAGTTGATGAAAACAACAGGTGACTTAGAACAAGCAATGAGAAAGTTTTGGGGAGAAACTGCTGAGAAGGAGACAGTAAAAAATAAAGAAACCATAATATGTGAACAGTATTTTCAGAAAACTCATAAAAGGGATAAATAAATCGGGTAGATGTGTAACATTTGCCGAACTTCTGTGATGGAAATACTAAGACCAGTTGTCTTTTTAAATATTTATTCTGAAACTTAACACAAGCTTCCTTGATTAAATAAAAAGTAAACAAAGCAGCATAATGACGGAAAGGTACAGCAGCTTTCTTATTGCATGATGCAACTAACTCCTTCTGCATTTCTCAGACAAAAGCACTTTTTTTACATTTGCCATTTGCATTCACGGAAAACCGCTGAAAGGGATGTGTTCTTAACGAGTTTTTCCTTGATCACTTTTCGGCCATTTCGGTGAACACTGTGGTCCTTTCCCAAGAGAAGTAGGAAGTTCTCTATTATAAACCTGATGTTACAGTTGTAACTATGCCTTTTAAGGAAAATCCCTCTTTTGCCTAGGAAAGTCATAGGATATTGTTTTGAGAAAATTAACAGCCTTATGCAAAAGATTAAGTTTAGATCTTGATTATTTAAAATAGTACAGTCAAAAGTCTTTAATCCGGTCTTCAGTGATTTCGGATTATAGATCATCAGTTTAAATCTGGTAAGATGGCATGCAGAAATTATACAATTAAAAGTATGAAATCGTAATTTATGAAATAACGAACAGTTATGATCTAAAGGGTTTCAAAATTTACACACACACACCACACACAAAAAAAAAAAAAGCACAATATTTATTTGTTTACTTTATTAAAACATTTCTTTCAACATGCGCATGCGTAAAGCATACATTACGCATAGTCGATATTAAATTAGAAATTAGAAAACTGCAACCAAAAAACTATTTGATGTGTATTCATGATATTTATAATGATGAGGAATTTGATTTAAATCATATCAAAGACTGAGTACATCGAGATGAAATACTACATATAGTAAGGAATTGTAAGCCGAATAAAATAAAAAAACACCTACCCTGAAGATAAGGATAGTGCTGGCAGATCAACTTCCAGTTCATTGCACGCCGCGACGTCCCTCCCCGCAGAGCAGCATGAAATTGATAAACAGATTTCGGAATCATTAGAGAAACAAAGGATATGCCTTTATCCATTTTTTCCACGATTTGTTTGATGGACATAGAAACATGCTTTCGCTTTGTAGATCCTTTGGCAGCTCCAGAATCGGAAATTCTTTTTGACATAATTGAAAGTTCAAGCTTACTTTTATAAAATTGCTCTAACAGTCTGCAAAAATAATAACCGATCCAATTTGAATATTAAGAAACATGTAATCTGCAACATTAACTGAAAGATAATTAGGTAATTTAGCTTAGCTTATACCGTCCGTTATACATTAAATGTGCATGCGTAAATGCATTATGCGTTTATGCATGCGCAGAAAGTTTGTAGCTTTGAGGTCCGGATTATAGATCATTCTGGATTATGGATGTCCGGATTAAAGACTTTTGACTGTATAAAGCGTTTTAGCAGAGTTTGAGCAAATGGGACACAGGTATGAAGTAATAGAAAAAGAAAATGAGACTGGTTCATACTTTATACCGAATTTAAATGTGTATAGACCTAAAGAAATTCCACTAAGCTTAGAGTGATATTCAGCACTTCGTGTCCTACTACTAAAGGAAACCCATTAAACTCACTATACTGTAAAGGTTGTGTTTCAGGACGATACTCTTGCTTTGATGGTTAGGTTTAGGAAATATCTCTCAGCATTTACTGTCAACATAGAGAAAATGTTCCACATGATCTGGATAACTGCAGAACAGAGAAAACTTTAGAAGAAAGAAATTGATAAACCAGGAAATGAATTAGTGACTGCGAGTTATGGAACTATAAACACTCTGTCTCAGCAATATACGCATTACGACAATTAAGCATAGATGAGTCCAAGCAATTTTCATTAGCTCCTCCGATAATAATGTCGGATATCTACATGGATGACATTTTATTAGGAGCTGCGACATTAAACGAGGCTAAAGAAGTACAATATCAATTAATTGAAATTTTCAAAAAGTGGTGTAGCAATGAGTTAAACAATAGTAGCCAGTCAAATTACACATTTTTAAAAACTGAAGAGACCTAAACATTAAGAGTCTACTGGAATCCCAAGGAAGATCAATTTTCATGTAAGGTGAAACACGAGGATGTAATTGTGCACATTAAGAGATCTGTATTGTTAGCGATAGCGTATTTATTTGACCCATTGGGATTGCTAGGTCCTATTACATCAAAAGCAAAGATATTTGTGGAGAAGATGTGGCTAATGAAGATAGATTGAAATGATGTTTTGCCAGAAGAAACTCAAAAGGAGTGGCAGAGATTTATGAAATGTTTGCATATAATATATAACACGACAATAGAGAGGTGCATTATAATAGAAGATGCTGTAACAACTGAGTTGCATAGATTCGCAGACAGTTTTGAATTGGATTACAGGGCAGTAACATATACTAAATCAGTCAATGCGGATGGAGAAATGAAGATAAGGACGATCGCCAGCAAATCCAGAGTTACTGTGCCTTGAGTTATTATGCAGCGGTTCTTGTAGGAAACTGATGAAAAGAGTGCAGGTAGCATTAAAATTGGGTATAACTTCTTTCAGTTATTGGAGTGTTTCAGTGATTGTGCTATGGTGGTTAAACAAAGATGCTTACCAGTTCGACCAGCAAAGCATCAACCTTGAAGAGATGTCAGATGTGCAGTAATGGAGACATGTTCCTTTGGAAAATAATCCTGCAGATTTGAACCTGACAATGTAATTTGTGGTTTTGTACACCTGTGATCAAAAAAGACACTTCTAATGAACTCAAAAAACTTAATAATGCAAACTTTTACCTAAAAACACTTATTGTTATTAGTAATACATTTTTATCTGATTTTTTTGCTTTAAATAATACTTATTCTAAACCTGTTCGAGTTTTAAGCTTTATTTGTAAGTGTCTGAGAAATTGTGGGAAAAAAAAAGAAGGGACCTTGTCAACAAAAGAAATTGGTAAAGCTGAGAAAATATTAATCAAATTAATACAGAGGTAATTATTTCTTGGTGAAATCAATTGTATTCATAAAAACGGGGTAGTAAGCTCAGTAGTAAGAGTTGTGTAAGTAATTTGCATCCATTGATAGATGAAGATGGATTGTTAAGAGTAGGTGGAAAACTTTAATGATTTATATTATGATAAAAATTCCCATTTCTTCTACCATCTAATCATAAGTTAAACTATAGTTAAATATTATCATGTAAAATATTTACATACTGGGCCAACCTTTATTATATATTTTGTATTGATTAGATATTTTAAATAATTAAAATATGTATTCTTTACATGCTGTGATTTTACATATTATAAAATTTGTCATCAAAATGGATAATTTGACAAAAATCCAATAACAAAGTGGTCAAAGATATTTGTACTTTTCTGCTATTAGGACTGGATTCAGAAATGTAGGTACATATGTATGTATATTTGTGATCAGTTTCAGAAATGTAGATAAATATTTGTTCATACATGTGTGCATACATACATGCATAATAAAATTATTTTTTATATCATTTCTCAATATATTATCTGTATAAAATTTAAAGTCAGTAGCAGCAATAGATGCCTCTCCCGAATAACTCGTGTGGGAAAATAAAAAAATTAGGTCTAAAATTACTGCATGTTGTCTTTGTCATAAAATTTTAAATTTCTGTATTAATTTACTTTTCCTCCTAAAATTTTATATTTTATTTAAAGAATTAATTTTTATGCAATTTCCCTAATGAAAGATAGATATTTCTATTATATTTTAATGGAAGTAAATAGTTCATGACAGTTTTTATAAAATTTAAATCGAGGAAATAATTTTACCAACGTACTTTAATTTGTGCGGGAACGATATTAATGAGCTGGAGGATTTATCTGATACAGATATGAAATGCAGTTGGAACACTAGGAAGTATAAGCATTTATATACTCCTGTTCCTGTGCAGGATTTCTGTCATGTGAAAACACCAGAGCACAGTTTCTGTGAAGTGAAAAAGAGAAAGGTACGTGAAGAAATATGCGAATTCTTCAAAGACTGCATATGCAAAACATCAGGCAAGGTTTCTCGAAAAGAAAAAACTAACAGAAATGTACGTATAATGCATATCAGATAGAAATATATTTGTAACACTAATGAATATGAACATGATTTAGAAATAAGTTCAACTATTTTAATGATAACAATCATTTATCAAATCAAGTATAAAAGACTTTCAGGATACAAGATTACATAAATTTTATTATGTATAAATAACATCCTCAATATACTAGTTTTTATGTTAAAAATAACAGAAAAACATTTCGGACATTTAATGTTAGTGCTATTTTCTGTAACAAAACTGTGTGGCCCAATGCCTTTTACAATTTCAAATATAAAATGTGAAAAGTATTTAGAATAGTATAGAAAATGGGATACAGATTGCCATATGTAATTTCCATACTCTCAGATATTCACGTACAGCATGATATATACAGGTCATGGTCAAATTTTATTTCATTTTTATGTATGTATTAATGTATATTTTATACGTGCGAAAGTGCGCTTGTTTAGCATATCCATATACATTAAATACGAGGGCTATCCAGAAAGTAGATTACGTTTTGGAATAAAAAAATAAACAAAGTATAGGAAACAAATTTTATTATATACAGATGAAAGCCACACTCAAATACTACTTTTCTACATAGTCACCATACAAATTAAGGCATTTATCGTAGCGATGTACGAGCTTGGAAATTCCTTCGTCGAAAAATTCGGCCGCCTGCGCCTTCAACCACTTCGTTACCTCTTCTTGCAGCTGTGCGTCGTCATCAAAACGCTGCATAGCCAGCCACTTCTTCATTGCTGGGAATAGGTGGAAGTCGCGGCGGATGAGGAAACAACTCCCACTTAAAAGATTCAAGAACTTTACGAGTGACATTTGCCGTGTGGGGCCGGGCGTTGTCGTGAATCAACAAGATCTTAGAGCTCAACATTCCTCTGCGCTTGTTTTGAATTGCTCTTCTGAGTTTTTGGAGAGTTTGGCAATACCTTTGAGAGTTTATTGTAGTGCCTCTTTCCAGGAAGTCCAAAAAATTACACCTTTTCTGTCCCAAAAAACAGTCGCCATCATCTTCCTTGCCGACATTGTTTGCATGCATTTCTTGGGTTTTTGGGGAGAACTTGTGTGCCCCCACTGCATTGATTGCAATTTCGTTTCACAGTTCACATGTTTCACCCATGTTTCGTCACCAGTAACGATGCGATCGAGTAAAGAGTCACCATCCTTATGGTAAGCGTCCAAAAAGTTCAACGCTGCAGCCATTCGCTGATTTTTGTGGTCCTCTGTCAAGATTTTTGGAATCCATCTTGCACAAAACTTGTGGTAACCAAGCTTTTCGCTGATGATTTCGTGCAACAAACTTCGCGAAATTTGTGGACAACTCAAAGAAAGTTCCGTTATTGTGAAATTTCGATTTTCACAACTTTAGCAACGACTTTTTCGAGAAGTTCGGCGGTCACTATGCTGGGTCTCCCACTTCGATCTTCGTCGTGAACATTGGTTCGGCCATTTTGAAATCTTATGACCCACTGACGCACTCCACCTTCAGTGATAATGTTGTCCCCATACACTTCACGAAGCTGCCGATAGATTTCTATCGGTTTACAGTTTTTTGCAGTCAGAAACCTTATTACTGAGCGCACCTCGCAGCTCGCGGGATTTTCAATTAACGCAGACATTTCAAACCGTCACAGTATCTGAACGGAGCACAGCAACCTCTCACTAGCACGGCTAGATGCAGACTGAGCTGCGCAACGCTCTGACCCCAAGATGGCCGCGCTAGCCCCGCCCCTAGCGGACACAGACGGAAACGTAATCTACTTCCTGGATGGCCCTCGTAAATCTGGTTTGAAATTACATGTGGGTGGGATTTTCGTAACTTTTTCAAGTTACGAATTACTCGGAAATATAATCTCTGAGAAAATATATATATTATAAAAATAAAATTTTATA